GAGACTCTGAACTGTCAAGGATGAAGCCCCACCCTTCCCAGCTGACATAATTCATAATTTGATGTTTGTACCCCAAGCTGGACTCCCTACATGTCCCCAGGAGTCAAGACAGGTGCCAGTCAGTATGCCCTAGACTGAGAAATTGTGCAGCTGGGAACCTTGTAGATAAGGAAACCATCCTATCTTCAGGGTTTAGCAGTTCCCAAGGGAAAAGAATGCTCCTCCTTGGGAGGGGTTTAATCTTTCTCCCATCTCTACTGTACCTTTCCTCCACCCTGGCCACTCCCATTTAGGAGGGGCAGAAGGAGGTACCATGGAGGGGTAAAAGGAGAGAGGAATGGTGAAGTCAGAGAAGTCTCAAAATAGTGCTTTCAGGATTTGAAAAAAAAAAAAAGCTCTAAGCTGTGCTCTCTCTTTAAATAGAGGTTTGGGAGTTCATGGCTCCAACCTCCAATCAGAGGGACAGAGGAAGGTGACAGAGTACCAAGGCTCTTACCCTATCTATAACCCCTCCAGCTTCTTTTCTGGATCTTTACTCAGGCCACACCTGTGAAGCCCAGATCCTGGCCACTAATAGTAGATATCCTCTGCCTTCTCTTCTTCCTTTATACCTTACATGGTGATCTCATCAGCTCTTTTGGATTAAATTATCATCTCTATGCAGATGTTTCTCAAATCTATTAATCCAGACCTAATCTCTCAAGACCTTTATTTTCAGATCTCCAACTATTAGACATCTTTAGCTGGAGTCCCATAGACATCTTAAACTCAACATGCCCAAAATAGAACTCATTATCTTCCCCACTCCCCCAAAAACACTCCCCTTGTCCCAACTGCACTTTCAGTACTGAGGGTACCACCATCCTCCTAAGCAACATATTTGTTGCTAACTCCTCACTGTCTCAACCTCGTATTCAATCTGTTGCTAAATCCTGTTGATGTTACTTTCACAACTCCTGTATACAATCCCTTCTCTCTTGAAATTACCACCACACTGCTGCTTGTCTTTATCACCTCTCGCCTCGGCTCCTGAAATAGACTGCTGAATGGTCTCACTGCCTAGAGTCTCTTCCTATTCCTGTCTGTCCATCCATCCTTACCCCAGCTATTTTCCTAAAATCAAATATGACTAGGTCATGACACCCCCCCCAAAAAAAATCAATCAACTCCAGTGGCTCTATATTACGTCCACGATCAAATATAAAATCCTCTAGTATTCAAAGACCTACATAATTTGCATCCCACCCCCCACTCTACTCTTCTATTCTTATTACAATTTACTTATTTACAATTTACTTATTTACAATTTACCCCGTATCCTCTGTAATCTAGTGAGATTGGCCTCCTTGATGTGCCTAGCACGCTACACACTCCATCTCCCAAACGGCTGTCTCCCGTGCCTGGAATTCCCTTCCCTCCTTATCTTTACTTCCTAGTTGCCCTTAAGTCATAGCTAAAACCTCGCCTTCTCCAAGTAACCTTTTCTAATCCCCCATAATGCTTATTCCTCCCTTCTGTGGATGATTTCCACTTTATCCTATGTATGTCTTGTTTACAGATAGTAGTTTATGTGCTGTCTCCCCGGTTTGATTGTGACTTCTTTACAGGACTGTCTTTTGCCTCTTTCTATCCTCAGGACATAGCACAGCACCTAGCACATAACAAGCACTTCCTGTTCATTAAATAACTGGATGAACCATCCCTGAAGAACTGAAGAAGGGGACAAGAAAGTAGGAAGAATAACCTCCACTGGAAGAGGTTTCAAAGTAAGCAGTCATGGAAAAGCACAGGCCAACAATATTTAAACAAAATCTAGAGGAATTCTACTCATAGTAAAATGGGTGTTCCAAAGGGCTCAGTAAAACAGGCTCAGGGAAAAGCCAAGGAAAATTAAGACTGGTTTTTTTTTTTCACTTAAGGCAACAACTGTAAATAAACAATGTAAATAGATTGTATATAATTGCTTGCTTATTGTACCTCCCATTAGTTTGTTAGTTCCTTGAGGGCAGGAACTATCTTTTACTTCTTTTTTTATCCCCAGATCTTAGCACAGTGGTTACCATAAATCCATTGGTAGAAAGTGTATCAATTATGTTTAAATCCACAATATATTCAAAGTTGAAGAGGAATGCTATCGGTGAATTGGACAGATGTTACATGAAGGAATTATGGGATGACACGGACAAGAATTAGACAGAAGAAAGCATAAATGAGTTGTAATCTACAATAACTGAAAGTGCACCATATAAGGCCACCAACTCAAAAGTACCAAAGTATGTTCGAAATCAAATAATACTAAGTCTCATTTCAAAATACAGGATGGAACTGTTATAACTTGGCAAATGGGTTTTGTTCAGTAGAAGACTTGAACTTTATAATACAAGCAAATCCTTCTATCATTATTAACTTCCTAACAGCTTTCTGCTCTCCTAGCAATTCATCCTTCACAGAATTGCCAAAATAATTTTCTTAAAACACAAGTCTGACCACATCACTCATCTGCTCAAAAATCTTGAGTGGTTTCCCATGGCTTCTAGAATAAAATACAAATTTCTTAGCCTGACATTCATTTTCTGTTGTCTTTACAATTCTCATGATAGAGCAAAATAATATTAAAACTACAGGTCTGTACAGAATTAAATGTCCATTTTTCATTTTTGCTATGAAACTTTCTGGTTTTAATTGCATGGTTCCTCTCAAGAAACTTAGCAGAATCTTGGAATGTGCTACTTCAGCTTGAACTTTAAGAAATCAGTCCTTGTCTTCCTTCAAGGTTGAGCTCGGTTGCTACCTCCTTGGTAAGGATTTCCAGGATTCACTTAAAAATGCTCTCCTTTCTCAAATTACTTTTTTATTACATCTATTTTAAAAGGTTTTTCCTACTGGACAAAACATGAAAGATCAATTTTATATATTCCTATGATACACAGGCTAATGGATAGAGAACTAACCTCAATTACTGGTAGGAAGACCTGGGTTCAAGAACCTTCTCTGGCACCTTATGCACTGGATTTGTGACCATGGGCAAGTCATTTTACTTCTTGGTGTTCTAGACAGAAGGGTGGCTCTGCCCTGCTAGATGGCATTTTCTCAGAAGAAGAGTTCCTGGTAACAATGAAATCACAGATCTAGTCCCTATCCCTAGGATTTCAATAATGCTTTAATATGGATATATCTTTTGCTTCTCTATGTAGACTGAAAGTTGGGCTATCCCATCAGTTTCAGCAATCAAACAAAATTTATACAGCTAAAACCCAAAGGAAGCCAAGACTAGGGCAGAAAGACTCCCTTGTTTTTTATAGAAATATATAGGTAAGAAAAGCTTGTTAAGAGTAATGTCTATAATATTTCAGGTCAAACACAAGCTCTAAGGTTATCAAAACAGCAGTGAACACCAGTTTATATACTGGAATGTTCTGAATTGATCCCCTCTGAGGTTGATCTTAATTAATGTTACAGCACATTTGCAGCGCAAATTTTAGTTCACTACACTTTGTTTTGTATTTAGCATAAGTTCAAGTGTATTTGTCTTTTTCTGCTATACTGTATCACCTGTGCAATGGTCTCCCCTAAGTCTTAAGTGTGAATAATATTTTGGGTTTTTGACATCATTTGTATAGCCTCTCAAATAACAAGCATAGTGCTGTAGGCACTTAAGAGGTACTTGCAAAATGCTACTAAAGTAAAGATTTCTAGTGGTGAAATTTCAGAAATGGTGGTTTCCCATTGCCTCAGCACCCGTTGAACATAAGCGATGATGAAAACGCTTCAAAAGAAAAATAAAATTCACCTATGACAGAAAAATACTACAACTCCACACAAATGAAAATTTCATTTTCCATGCATTTTAAGTACAAAACTCTTTAAAATGCCATACTGACTAAAATATTTCGTCTTAAAATCAGGAAGGCATAATTTGAGATTTTTGACAAGCCATAAAGTGTTAAAAAAAAAAAAAGCAACCGGCTCATTTTGGAAGGACAAAGTCAAAAAAAAAAAAAAGGGAACCATACAGCTACAAAGTATGCACGAATTTTTCACACATTATAAATTCTCTATTCTAATGACGCAGCTCGCAGTTCAAAGTTCACGTATACCCATGAAGGAAAATACACACACCTCTAATTCTTTATGTCAATTTTGGGGGGAAGATACCAAAAGTATTTTGGTTATTTGCAGCTGCGTTAACAGCAAAAGACAATTAAAAGTGTGAACGAGGCTCTGTCAGGGTAACACTTGTCATTCACACACCTCCTCACCGGAGAATCTCCAAGTGTTTCAGAAGCACTAATTAAAATGAACTAAAAGCGTCTCCCGATAAGTGGAGAGCGGACTGGTCAGGCTGCTTCTTCGGCCCGGCGCCCGGGAGTCAGAAAGCCCTGCGTGGGCTCCTTTCCCTCCACGACCCACGCTCCCAAGCACTTGGGCTCTCCAGCCCCACGCCCTGCCCCCCACCACAGCCTCTGAAGTTACACACAACAAACGGTAAGGCTTCGGCGGCGCTGACCAGCACCAGGGGAGCAAGTTTCCACACTGGGATGATAAATCCCAGGTCCTGCCCTTCCCCCTTTCCCCCAAAAGAAGTCACATCTCCTCCCACCCCCCCGCCCCAAGGGCAAGGTCTTTCATTGCAAGATCCCGGCTCAGCCGCGCGGAAGGAGGGAAGGATCTTGCTATCGGAAGCCCGACCTGGGTATCTAACAAAGCATCCTAGGGCGGCAGAGAACTCATCGGGGACCCGACTTGTTCCCCCACGGAAAAGCGACAAGGAAAGGCCCCGAGGCTGTGGCTCCTCCTCCCCGCGCCGGGGTGGAGAAGGGAGACGGTGGAGACGGCTATCCGGGGCGACGACAACCCCTCCCTCCACTCTTCCTGTACTTCGGGATCTCCGCCTCGGTCCCTGATAGGCCTTGACTGCAGCTGCCCCCTCAGGATCGGCCTCCAGGCTCCCCCAAACTCCCCTCACCCAACAGTCGGCTCTCTCCCTAGCACTCTCTCACCTGGGCCCAGCAGGCGTCCACAAATCCACGAGCCAATACCACGTCTCAGCAACGCGCTACCTGATTGGCGTTCGGAGGCAGGAAACCCGCGCTCCATTGGCTGGATGTATTACGGGAGGCGGGGAGAGGGCGGGGCAGGGCCCGGCTCCCAGAGTTCCGCTAGGGTCAACACGGGGAGAAACAAGATGGCGGCCTTGACAACCGGCGTCGGCGATGCCGGGCGAAGGGGAGCCGGAGACCCTAGGGCGTCGATGGCAACGGCGGCGGGAGGCCACGAGACGGACAGCGGCGGCGGCTGCAGCTTCCGCAGGAAGGATCCTGCGCTCGGGAGTGGCAGCAGCGGCGGCGCTCGGCTGCGCTCCATTGCGGGGACGCGGCCGTCGGTGCGGAATGGACAGCTGCTGGTGTCCGCCGGCCTCCCGGCCCTGGACCAGCTCTTAGGTCGGTCGGTCTGTTCGGAGCGGAGATCCGCGCCCGGCGGAGGGAGGGAGGAAGGGAGGAAGGGAGGGACGGCGGCCCGAGGCCAGGGGCGTGGGGAGGGGAGGGAGTGAGAGTGTAGGTGGAACGTAGGGATGCTTCAGCCCGGGAGGTTCTCATTCCCCCCCCCGCTGAGATTCCCTCCCAGATGTTCTCCCCCCGCGCCTGAGGTTCTACCCCAGATGTTCTCTTCCACCATCCTGAGGTTCTCCCCCAGATGTTCTCTTCCCCCCGCCTGAAGTTCTCTTCCCAGATGTTCTCTCTTCCCCGCTGAAGGTCTCCCCCAGATGTTCTTTCCCCCCGCCTGAGGTTCTTCCCCCAGATGTTCTCTCCCCCCCACTGCGATATTCTTTCCTCCCCCAGATGTTTCTCCAGCCCAGCCTTAGATGTTCTTCACTCCCTTCCCCAGACTGAGATTCCCCCCAGATGTTCTTCATGCACCCCTCTTTACTTGCCCGCTGACTGAAATGTCTCTTCCCCTCCTGAGGTGTTCCTCCCTCAGTCTGAGATGTTCTTTTACCCCAACCCACCCCCATCGGAAATATTCTCTCCCCCAGCCTGAGCTGTTCTCCTCTTGGAGCTTGGAGGTTCCTGGGAGCCAGGTCCTGTCAGCCTAGGTGACACTGTGCCTGCTTCCTGCATTGCCTTGTCTGGGTGCTGAAGATCTCCTAATCTGAAGCCTGCCGGTGTGACCTGGGCCAAGTCACTTCCCATGCCAGGACCTCAGTTTCCTTGCCTGTAAAAATATGGGATTGGATTAGGTGACCTCAAAGGCCAAAATCTGCCATCCTCCAACTAGTTAATTTCCTTACAGAAAGTCAAAGAAATGAACTTCCCCCCCTTCCCCCATCAGCTGTGGTTCTTTCAAGTACTTAGAAATTAAATAAACATTCAGATTTTGGATTGCTGGTTTCCCTCCAAACTGCAGATCCTTTGGCAAGTGCTCCCACCATTAAAGGGTTTCCCTGTCATTTTCCACAGTGCTCTTTAAGTTGGTGTACTCTTTAGAGCCATAAACTTCAAAGGACAGTCTTGCCTTAGGTAGGTTCTAGGTGCTGGATCAGATTTATGTCTTCTTATGCATTATTTTTAAAAGAGGAAGCCCAACTCTTTTGCCTTTCTCTTGTCTTCATGGAGGTTTGAAAGAAAAGCTTATTCTTAGTTTTCCTGTCTTTGTTAGACATTTAGGAGGCATAGTAATACAATCTACAGTTTGTAGACAGGTAGCAGAAACTGGAAAGAATAGGATTAGGAAAACAGCTGTTTTTAAGCAAAGTGAGTATAGCTTATTCCAGGTTGAAATGTCAACTTCATCAAGTTAACTCTTGAGCATGTTTAGTGGTTAATTATATATGCCATTCCTTATTCCTGCCCTTCATTTCTTTTTTCTCCCTTTTTAAAAAAAAACAAACTGATACCATTCAGATGTTAAGTTTAGACCTGAGTGAAGAAAGGGAGATCAGCTGCTAACCAGAAAAGACATAGCTACTTGCTTCTATTCTTTCATTTGCATCTCTTAAAACCTCCATACTCTTCTGACCACTAGTATTTTCACTCCATGGTTTAATCCTGTTATTAGCTTCCAGAGTATCATGATAGGTGAATAGAAAGTGATCCAAATACATCTCCATTGCAGATCCTAATGTTTATTTAGGAAATTAACCCAACCATGCACACTCCTATTTTTTTTCTCTTGTGTTCCTCATTTTGTATTTTGTCCAGTTTTTGAGCTTTAAAAGTTGGAAGCTATTCCATAGAGCTAATAATTATTTAACATAGATGAGTGACTTCATTCACATAGTCCAGAATTGCCCAAACAAAAGTAGGAGCATAAAGTCACATTTATGTTTTTCTAGTTGTAATTCTCCATCAACAGCAATATGAAGGAAGGAATTAGAGTTCATATAAAACCCCCAAAAAGAGATGTAACATTAGTGCCCTTTTTGTTTTTGCTTTATCAATTTTCTGAATCCGTAATCATTTTCCTTTTAAGGAATTTCTAATTGAGCATTTCAGCTTCTGTGGTATGATTTTTATCTAGTTCCTAGAATTGTACAGCACAGAATCATAAGAAATTTATTTATCCTCAGAAAAAGTGTAGTTTAAATGTGGTTTGTTTTACCTGCTAACTTGAACATTTTTTTTTGTTATACATATTTCATTGTGTGGAGAGAAACTGACATTTCTAAATATCACTTAGAATATAGCCATTCTGCATTTAGTAATAATTCTTAAAATATTGCTACTTTACATATTCTCTATTTCCCCTAGTTTCTATTAATCTGCTATTCCCTGATTTCTTCTTGGCAACATGATTTAAATATTGAACCTTAGATTAATCAGGTTAACTAAAATCTTTTATGGATATTTCATAAAGTGTCAGGTGTTATCCAGGAGAAGTATACCACAGCATGTGGTTGCATATGTGCTGAAATAGAAATTCAAACACTAATTTAAAACTTGTTCAGACTTTTTATGCTAGGTAATTATTTTAAACTAGCATGAGGGCATGACTCCACAGTAAATCCAACAACCCATGTGAAAATCAACATTAATTACAGTGAACAAAACAAGGAAAGGTTGTTTAATTAACGAGATCTTTTATTGAAATATATTTTGCATGTGTGCATTTGTCTCCACAGAAGTGGAAAGTAATTGTTATACTAAGAAAAATCACTACGTGTAGAACAACTGTTGTATATAAGTGATCTATTTCCTATTAACTTTTCTTAAGTGACATTTTTATGATTGATGTTTTTGTGTTCTGTATGGCCACTGAAACAAGCAATTTACATTTGTTTTCTATTAAAATGTTCCATAAAAGTGAAAGAAAATTAGCTGCCATTGCATTAAATACTTCAATGTAAGAAGTTCCAAAAACATGACTGCTGAGTGTTATTACTCTAAAATGCCTGTTGTATGATTCAGATTGTGACATGAGCATGACATGACTGTAAGTGTGACTCAGAATGTAATGGAAGCAGGATGTTGTGATGTCGGGATGATGGGGATATACTGTGACATTATTATGATTGCTGTGTAAGTACTCTCTTGATTGCCATGTAACAAGTAAATATGCTGTAATATCACTACCATGCAATACAGTGAAATTGGATTGCACTAACTCTGTGATGTCATTGTAATTTTTAGCAAATTTAAGCATAGATGCAAAATATATTTGAAAGATATTCTACAACCTTGGATGTTATTCACTTGAAGAATATACTAATAGTTCCATTATCTTCTATTCTTAAATTCTTAAAATTTACTTTCATTTAAAATATTTGAATCAAATGTGTTTGGTTTTACTGTCAGAGGTCTTATAGTTTATATAAAATATCCAGATTTGGTGAATTAACACCTTCTAGGTATTTACCAGATCTGCCAAATGGTCTTGGACTTGTCACCTTACCCACTCCAACCACACTATCCACATTCCCCTCCCCCTTCCCCCCTCCCCCATGAAAACTATTCTAGTGCTGTTTTAAGAGAAGCAATAAATAACACCTTAATCTTATGGGATCTGGAGAAAAATTGATGAGTGGTATGCTTTCAGAAATATTTTACCTTCCTCCAAGATAAGGTTATATAGCTGGACTTCTGCTTTTTAAAGACTCCCACTCAAGCCTTCACTTTTAGTCTGTGAAAGTATTTAGCTGGTTCACTTCTCCCCAAACTGGTGGTGGTTCAGATTCTTCCTTGACTTCCATATGTTCAGGAGCACAACAAGTGACAATTGATTTTTTTTTCTTAGTCTCTGGAGCTATGACATTTTAAGGCAAACTAGTAGGCCAGGAAGATTACTCCTCCAAACAGAATCTTGTGGGTTGGAATTATGACAGCAATATAGCAGAGACAAGTAAGGAAAGACAGAGGTCAGTTCTACCTGCCTCCTGTGCAATACTGTATCTTAATCTCTAATATAGTTGAACATTTGGGCCTTTTTCTGTGCGTTTGGGCAAAACACAGGCTGGGATGCATTTTATTTTTGCGCACAACAGATGAGATGGATTCCAGATTCAAAGAACATTTCCTTTTAATATGTGACATTATTAGTCTAGTCTCTAAAGGTTATCACCTTTTCCAGTTTTTTCTATTTCACAATGCATACTTGCTCAGCTAATGGCCAATAGAGAGGAAGGATCAAGGTTTTCCTGTTTCTCTGTGGCTGAGAGAGAATAAGAAAACTTTAAAATCAGAACGCCTATAGAATTTTAGTATCTACCACTAACACCAGTTGACTAAGGAGATGACTATTCCCTGGTACCAAAAGCCAGAATATATACATATCTGATTTTCCCTCAGAAGAGCACTCAATGATTTTATAAACATATCATGAGGAATAATTGAGGACTTTTTTGCATAAATCATGCTCTTTCTTTTCCTCTCTTCCTCCTAGGTTTCTTAAACCTTTTTGCCACAGAACCTATTGGCAGTCTGATGAAACCTACAGATGCTTCTCAAAATAATGTTTTTAAATGCATAAAACAAAATATATAGGATTATAAAAGAAACCAGAACTTGAAATACAGTTATCAAAAAATTTTTTTTAAAGTTTGTGGATCCCAGGTTAACAACTACTGCTCTAGACTGAACTTTTAAGGAGGCAGAGGCAAGCAAAGGAGATCACATTACTAGCTTTCCTAATTGGGCTTCATTTAATCAGGCGTCATAACTGAATTTTGTAGGAACTCAGGGTCATTTTTTTCCTCTAGAATCTGTGCTATTAGTTTTTCAGTAGCCAGTTTTCATGTAAATTTAAAAGAACCATTGCATTTAGCAAAATCCTAAAATATCCTTGGGACTTTGCAATATCATTTTTAGTCTTAGCTTTATCAAGGTTCTGAGCCTATAGATTGTTTAAAATTAAAGTACCTGGGGTTTTTTTTAGATGATTAAAATTATAAAAAAAAAACCTTAAGCTTACTTAAAATTGTAAGGCATGGACTTTTTCTCCTTTCAAA